TCACCTGACCTCATTGAAAATATCTGGCTAATTTAAGGACGTTCGATCCTGAGTTTTTGAGTGGATTTTGGTCATGTCCTTTATTTATAAAATTCTGCATCATTTCTAAATTCTAACATTAAATCTGAATTCTACAATGCAAATTGAACTATATTCAATGAAAAAACTGCGATTAAATTCCGTTCAAGTTGAAATATTTACATTCGCTGTGTTTTTCTAGTAAGCTTACTGTGAAATTGATTTGAAAAACATTTTCGTGTATACTCACGCGTAGAAATATACACGGAGAAACGTGCATTAACGTGACGTCACAATGAGACTGCAGCGACGTTAGTAAAATGCAATTATATAGGACTGCGAGAAATTCAAATATTGAGTATATTTTAGTTGCCTCCAAAAATGTAAAATGTAAATATAAGGAATGTGGCGGAGGGTTTTTTGGACGAAAATCATCAGTTTTCCCTTTTGAACTATAACAGTACTCTTTATTTTGGATTCCTATTTTTCCAATCTGGTTGCACACAAAGCTGTTTTTTGCAGTAAAATGTGTCATGCTGGTTCTGAAATATCTATTAAATTATTTCTTATGAATTCTATCAACAAAGTGTGACAAATATAGTAAATATATTCTGAAAACCCGGGAAAAATGGAGCCAATTTAACGTAAAATTGACGCTTTTTAAGTAATATCTGAAAATTAACATCATATACCCCCACATTTGATGTTCTTTTCTAAATATTCAAGATAACGTAAATTCAGAAAAAGTTTAAGACTTTGAAATAATTTTCTTTGGTATTAAATTTTCAATGCCAGAAAAATCACATTTTATTAGTGCAGAAAGGTCAAATAATTGATTATGCGAAGTAATTTGAAACTTTTCTTAGTTACAAGTTTAAAGTGTCTTTTTTTAAACAGACTTGGAGTTAAATTTTTTTTCTTGCTTGAATTGGGTAAAAATATTGCAGGGAAAACGTCGAAGAGGTAATTTTTAATTAAGACACACATTTCAGTGCAAGAAGGTCATATTAAATGTATTGTAGTGCCAAAACAGACATATAGACCCCCATTTTTTTATTTGAATTTTAATTAAGCTATGTAAATAGAAACTAAAAATATACTTGGCAAAAAAAGTTCAAAAGACCTTCAATATCAGGATCGAACGTCGTTAAAAAAATCGACTGAGAAAACCACTGCCAGCAATTAAATCTTAAGACGATTTGATCTCTGAAGTTATGAATATTTGGTCCCCTCTATCTGTTCCTTATATCAGAAACTTATATTATACTAAAGGCCACATTACTAAATACTGAAAATATCATGTAAGTATCTTTTATGATTTTTGGTTTATGGGGGTTTGAAAAGGCAAGAAAGTTTGTCTAGAAACAATGACGTCAGGGAAAAGTTACATCAATTTTGGCACTTCACTGTACTAATCATCACGTGCTGTAACTACAAGCATGTTGTTTGATGAAATCGAGGGTAACTACGGATGAAAATTTAGCGGAATCTTACTAAACTAGTGATATACAACTATTAAAGCGGAATTTAACACAACCAACCTAATTAAGGTCCTTTTCTAGTGCATGTAAAATATCCAGATATGAAACAGATGTACCAGACCATCTACTATCTTTTATTTCAATATGACTGGGATATATCATGTTGGCATTTAAATGGTAATAACTATCGTTATTTTACCTCTAGTGATCTTCCCTCTATAAAAATTTGATCGTTAATGTTAATAATTCCCTAAAATTGATGTGAACTGACCACTCTCGGTGCGTTCTTGTTCTTGTTTTCACAAATGTAAACAAAATGTTGAGATTCAAATAGTCATTTATTACTAAATATTTACCATGTTTACATCTACTGAATATTATTTCCTTTAGTTCCATTATCGACCATTTCCATTAATCAGTCCGTAAATGACACTAAACAAGTCAGATTTCTTTAACAAAACCTGTTCCATCAGTTATGCATGAAATGACAAACACGTCTATAATACAATATTTTACATATCATTTTGTTTTCATGAAGAAGTTATTATAAACAAAAAATGTCTTTCTCTGTTTGCTAGTACGGAAAATAAGGTTGCAGTTATTACTGAAAAAATTACATAACCCGCTTTACGCAGGTTTTGTATTTCTTCTAAAACAGCTGCTTTTCAATTACTGTGTCATAAATCAAAGAAAGTATTTGTTTGAATAACCCAGAGATACTCTAAGCACCGAGTTCATAAAATGGTGCCAGGCTTCACATATGATCATAATGGCAAAATCCAAGTTTTGTAAAGGGAGAACCCACAGTAAGTGTGCGACCAAAAGATAAAATAGGAGGTACACAAAGGCATGATTATATAATAAAGAATATGTGAAGGATTCAGTGGTACAGTGGAGTTGCAGAACTGAGTACCTCTTCAAATACAGAGTTTGGGAGTTCATACATGTACGTGTAATGGCATGTGTAGAAGGGGAATGACCTAAATATTTTGCGTATTATGTCATCAAATTTAGTGATGATAAGGTTTCTTCTCAAACTTAAAATTTATCGATCGCGGTGTCCCTTACAAAAGAAAACTAAAGTAAACTATAGTTAACTATAGTTTACTTTACTTAAGAACCCTCTCTACACTGCACACTAAAGAGTTCTGATTCTAAGGTATTTTTCTGCAGTTAGAGTGATCTGCCCTTAGATATAAATTCTAAAAAATATAAATTTACAGCGTATTACTTTATTTATATAATCAATTTTAGTATTCTCAACATTTTAAAAGGCCAAGATAAATTAAATTTTCTCCATTGTCAGTGTAATTAACAGTGATTTCTATTCAGTGATGCTGTGCTGTTTTTGAACATTTTCCCGGGAGAAATGCCACGCATCATTCTGTGAAAATTGAATAAATAAGCTCAATATTAACTCCTTTATACAATATATTTTCTTAATGTCCAAAAAAAATTGCACTTGTGTTGAGAGGGTCCTTAACTATAGTACCAAATTCAAAACTTTTGGAACTTTGGCTTTACTATAGTGAAATCTTTAAAAGTGTTATTTATTTTAGTAAAAACATTGGAACTTTGATTTACTATAGAGAAAACTTTGTAAGTTTTATTTGCTATGGTGAAAACTTCGGAACTTTGATTATCCATAGTCAAAACTTTGGAACTTTGGTTTACTATAGTGAAAACTTTTGAACATTGGTTTACTATAGTGAAAACTTTTGAACTTTGATTTACTATAGTGAACGTTTTTGAAATTTGATTAAATATGGGAAAACTTAGGATTTTTAATGTATTTAAAAAAAATTGAAAATTCTCATTCTTTATATTTTAATATAATAATGTAAAGGTTGTCTCTTTTACCGATAAATAAGCAGTCTTTACTTAAATCAAATCAATTTAAATGTTTTGCAGAAGGATCTCATTTATCGAGGGGGAAATAATATGCTATGAAATAACATTTGCTTAATTTAGAGTAAAAGAACTCCACTTCCGTAACAGCCACGTGGAGAAATTGACATTGCCACATGGTTCTGCACGTACTCCATCATCTGAATCAGACATCGTCCGTCAGTCATTACCATCCGACTTCTTAAGTAACTCAACTTCTTCTGTTATTTCAACATCCATACAAATCGGTTTCCTGGCCATGCTCCCGTTTCATCAACTGCAACATTGCACTTAATATGGCGGCGGAGAAGTGATATAGTGCCTATATACGTTCGTGCTTCCGACAACCTAAATCTAGGTCACATATATAATTAAAGTCAACAAGATTACTTTGATCATTATTTAAAATTCTTTTGTTGTTTATTTTATAAATGTTGATGTTTGACTACGGTAACTATAAATAATCAATAAATTTGTTTCGTGTTTTTGGGACTATTTTTTTATAGTAAAATTCGCCCGTTATGCAAATTATCCCATGTTTCCCACTATTGTTGATGCCCTGGCATACCCTCAAAACTAGACAGTGATTCCTTAAGTAGTCACCAATCTTTATTGACCCTCTAAAACAGCTAATAATTAAAAAAAAATTAAAAAAAACATAATTTGTAAAACAGATAGAGAAATTAAAAACTTTGATAAAGAATAGTAAAAACTTTGAAACTAAGAATGACTAATGTAAAAAAAAATGGGAACACTGAGTTATTATAGTAATTACTTTGGAACTAAGGTTTACTATAGTAAAGACTTTGGAACTTTGATTTACTATAGTGAAAACTTTGCTTTACCATTAGATTGTAAAAACTTTGGAACTTTGATTTACTAAAATGAAAACTTTGCAACTTTGATTTACTATAGTGAAAACTTTGCAACTTTGATTTACTATACTTTACTATAGTAAACTATAGTTAACTTTTGTTTACTAAAGCATTTTCTGTAAGGGGTACAAGTGCATGTTACACACCATTGAAATATTAACAGACAAATTACATAAACGTAAAACTATAAGCACTATTGTACGCATGCAAGTTTAAGATCGCAATCTCTATATTATAGAAAGAATGACAGTTCTTAGGCTGTTTCCATATAATCAGATTACTGCGCAAAACATCTTATTAACATATTTCTTTGTTTACTCACAGTACTGCCTTGACATTTTTGTGGGTGAAAAAGCAATCACCACCTCCAACTCAACCCCCACCATTTTGTATTTAACCTAATTCTTTTTTTATGTTTTATGGATTCGCTTTTAATGCATCACTCTTTTTTCCAATAAAGTTTGATGTTGTATTTTACCGCATTATCACATCAGTGTCTTGTAACAATATTGTTACTCTTTTATAATCTTTTTGTGAACTGCATTTTTAGCCAAGTTTTCCTTGATTCTAGTATGTATTCCAGCCAATTTTTTTTTGAAATTGTTTTTTATGGATCACACATTTTTTTTAAAACAATAATATGTTTTCTGTTATAAATTTAGAAAATAAACAGAGCCTTGGGCTACCATTAAGTTTTAACATCAATAAATATACAAGTAAGAAAAAGTGAAGAAAAAATATCAAACATAAAATTCATGAACAATTTGGATTTCAAATACAGTATCCTCATATCATAAATCATATCCCATGCAGAAAAAAAAACAATTTTTTAATGAGAATACTAATCAGTGCTTTTAGTTCGCATTAAAAAATAATCGAAAACACTTGAATTCATTATACATCTATGTTTCTATGTCTTGCCAAACAGTTAATCATCCCTGTTTACCCAAGATCATTGTTTCTTTTCATGTGACCATGAATAATAGACCCTGCTGTAATTATAGGTAAATGAAAATCATTCGGAGCTAAAATACACGTGTCAGAAAAGCGACAGCGTAAATTTTCAAGCACAATGGGCCAGACTGCAAACTTCCCTACGACTATTATATATGCAAAAGTATTTTCCAACATGAACTCATTGATTTCATCAGAAAGTCTTAAGCTAAGATCCTGTAATAATGAAAAAAGCTTTGTACAAGGAACATCAAACCAATGTTTAGTTTCCGACAAAAGTGGACCATTGTCGCTTACAAATTTGGAGAAATTGTATTTATCCAAAATTTCGTCCTTTTTATCAAAATGAAATTTTATCCTTTGCCTAGAATTTTGAAGTGCTGATTCGCCAAGTCTACATTTGTGATTTAAGCTATCAAAGAAAGTCTCCCCATCGATAAGATGGTCTAAATCGTCTCGATTCATCTGTAACTGTTCACTCATTTCTGCAAGAAAGTCCCCTTCCAGGGACCGGAGGCTCAGTGTCATTTCTCGTGTCTTTTTTATTGTTGAAGCAGAAAGGGTTTCTAAGACGATGGACGACGTTATGTCTGTAAATTCAACTGGAAAAGAAAAAAAAAAAACATTTGATGCATGTTGAGATAAAGAAAATCACCCCTCCACCCTCAACGGAATTATTTGTCAATTGTAAAATCGTAATACACGTATATGTATCTCAACCTATGGAATCTGTCTCCAAAGATTTCCAAAGATTATGTCTTTAAAGGAGACTGCTGGTATTCTTGTTCCATCAACTTGTTTGTCAATAATTTACATCTTTAAAGAAATTGTACATACGTAAAGCTCTTGTGAGATTTAAATGAGAGATTTAAACTCCGTAACCAATGATGAAGGTTTATTGCTACATAAGTAAGGGAAGTTGACGATTGAAAAGTTAAGACATCGCGTTTATCATAAAGCTTGGTTGTTGGATTACCATAAACGTCTTTTTCCAGTAAATTATCTAAATATGAAACAGATGTGTCAAAGCATGGAATATCTTGCATTTCAAACTCATAGGGATATATCGTATCGACATATGAATGGAAATAACCATTGTTAAAAACAGATGATACAAACAAACTCTCATCAAAAATCCTGAAAATTTTTAAGAGAAAAATAAATAAGTTTTAGCGGACAGATTTTAATTTTTATTCAAATTTCCGCAATATGGAGTTTTAATCGACAAGGAAACTATAGATTAATAGGGATGGTTGAAAAGAGGTTGAATTTTAAACATAAATAAAAGTTAACGAATTCAGAATATTTAATATATTTAAAAGTTACCTTCACTTTGTACGAAAAGAATTCTTTCTCTCCTTCGGAAAACTGGACAGGTCTCATGTCATTCAATATATTCACTGTGCAAGAACCACGTTCACAGTATCTTAAAATAGCTGTTTCACTACTAAGTATGCAGTAGTTTTCTAACTTTTCCTGTGTAAAAAAATTAAAAACTTTTGATTTGTATATTTAATTTTAATTACATTTTATGCCTATAAATGTATAGAATATGTCTTTTTTATATATTATACGAAGCATTCTAACATTCTGTCACAGGGGCCGTAACATGCTAAATTTGATTTTACGTAATCACAATATATACATGTACAAAAGGGAACCAACGCTGAAATGCTATGGAAAAATATAAGTTGTGACATTATACAGAACATTTTAGAAAATATTTACTATAATATATGAATAAGCGCCCTCGGGTGACAACCCTACTCGGACCTGATAATTGGTGATGTCTCAATTCTAAACAGTCCATAATTGTATATCAAATTAAAAATGGTACATTAAATGAAAACTGGGTATTGTCTTACAATCAAGGCAAATAAACGTCATTTTTTTTCAAAACATGGTTTGTTGCTGTCCTAGAAGTAAACAAGAGTTACCTCTCTTGTCACAAATGCTATCATTTGGAGCATTTTTAAAAAACAATTTTCTCAAAATTCTAATACTCAGTATGAATAGATATTTTTTACAGATTCTGGTTAAATTTTTCGATATATAATGTTTCTCCTTAATACTTAAATATGAATTTTACTCTTAATTCACACAAATTAAACAGAAATAATGATTCGAAATTTGAGGGCGAGACGGCCCCTTGACGACGGGCGGAGACAGAGATATCTCAGCCCTGAGGGCGAGACAGCCCTACTTCCGAAGCGCTGCCTCGCCTTGTCCAAAACGCCTGTATCAGGGCTGATACACTACTAGGTACATGTATATGATATATACATGTACTATGTCAGTGTTCTCAATGGACCTTAATATAAAAATGATTAAGCACCATAGTCTTTCATTTTGCATTTCTAAACTTTAAATGAAATTTACTCTAATTAGGGCCCATTTTCTGGATTGTACTATCAATTATCTTTCATACCTCGCTGATCACATGAATAAAAAGAAACAATTAACAAAGTTGGATCCTGATATTTAAAGTCTTAAACTTTTTTGTCATGTATATTTTTGGTTTCTATACACACAGCTTAATTAAAATCGGAACAAATCAAAGTACTCAGAAGTACAGAGAGCCGGGCTCATTTACAGAGCAGAATGGATTTCTTACATGAATCACGTTTAAATTCTGATGAAAAAAATATTTTAAAACTATCAATATAAATGATAAGACACTGACAGTGAGTTTTTCAATCCTAATACCACGGTCCGATTTTGTCAGAATCAGAATTAATCTGGAACCGCAGATGAATGTAAACAAACAGGCCAGTCTGGTTCCCTCTCCTGCTTTACCTCGTATGTGTAGAGAACTACGGTAACACTGATTATCAAAAATCCTTGCGCTAATGAACTATGTTCTTTGACTTATGAAGTTTTCAAAGTCATTACTACTAATGTTTATTCTATATAGATAAAACTTCGTTTTATTTTTGTTGCTTTATTTAGCGTTTGTATTATCTCAAAAGCGGTTGAGAGTAAGAACTATATTTTTGCATGTAACTTTAAAATGGCGACTATGGGGTCAACATCCTGCCTTGAACAGGATCACATAAGCCGGCAATTGCTCTTTGAGCAATAAGCCCGGCTAAAAATAGCCCGTGGGTCAGTGCTTATCTTGGATCTACAGTAAATTAAATGTGCTTTTTGCACTGAAATATGTGTCTTAATCAGAAATCACATCTTCAACGTTTTTCCTCCAAACCTTTCCTCTAAATAGATCATCCTTAAAAAATTCAGTCGCGAAATTACCTCGAATATTAGAACTTAGCGAAGGTAATGCGCCACAGTAAATTTTGAAATGATGGAGAACGGAACCTGCAAGTAACTTTTTTTCTGCGGTTGTCTATCGCCAAATATTTCAATAATATTCATTCTCTTATACATTCATGTCTAATAAATTACGCATTATCAGTCATTCTCATTAAATGTTATTGATGTGGCACTGCTTTCTTAAAAAAAATAAAATAAAATATTGATAAGATTAAATTTTAAGCAAAATGTATTGAAGTCGGTCGAAATGTTGCAATGGTAGAACATTCACATGTAGGGGATTCCTTTCCTGGAACACCAAGCGACTAAATTTGCATTGTACTGTACAATACAAAAACTAACTCCACCACTAAAATTTTTACAAACTTACTCGGTCTAAATAATCCAAAAGCAGCCTTTCAGACGTCGAATCCCAAGGAGGAGGTAATGACAGAACCCAGAGAATGTCGTTTTCGGTGATGGTGGTGTTTCTTTCTTCTAAAGAGTGTAAAGCCCTCTTTCTCCAAAAGTCAACAATCTTTGTGTAAAATGTTGAAAACTGAATCTTGCTTCCGTCCTTTGTTTCCATTGTAGAATGTTTTAGCAAGGAAGGCTAGAAACAAGAAGCCGCCATTTTCAATTAAATCGTTCGTGTCCCCTAATATATCTTAAAGTACTGACAATATTAACAGAAATTGAAAAACATCATCATAATTAAAAGATTTAAAAGAGACCTGCTTTGGAGCCTTCAATCTTTACAAACACAGTATATAAAACTATATCAAATATTCCTACTTGCATACTTATTATATCAAGTGACGAGAGAGAGAGATAGAGGGAGAGATGGAGAGAAAGTTGGAGAGAGAGACTTACTGTTATTTTCATTCCCTTCAAAAATGAACAATTTAAAACCTCCCAACGATTCCTATCTTTGAATGTTCCAATTTCCTCTTTCTCTTCTGCATATGTAACCTCACCCTTCTTGATGTGTAGTACGGAATTTGCAATTGAAAAAACATAATTAATTTTCAACGGATCTCTTTTGTAATCGTGTAGAAATGACAGGGCAGCACATGAATGGCTTGTTCCGATGACGATGCATACGACAACTAGAGTATTTCCCTTACACTGATATTGTCTTTGATAGTCATCTTGGTACACGATTTTAGTCCATTCTAAAAAAAGATTTTTATCTCATTGTGATATGCAGATTTCTTGATAGATAGATACTTATATAGAGTCGTTCTTATAGTGGCGTATTTCTACCCCGTACATGCAAGGTAAATTTTGTCAACATTCAAGAAAAATATGCCAAAAAGCACGATAATTATGTCCATATGCAACAAAATTATTTTAACATGCAAGTTATAATCTTATTAAAGAATATAATTGTAATTTTGGCAAATTTAATAATCAATGCAAGTATTTAGCAGAATGCATGCAAGATGCAACATAAAAATGTTGAAATGCGACTCGTGTTAAAATGCATTTATGCAATATGCATATAAATATGTTAACATGCAAGTTATTTATGCTAACATGCAAGATATTTATGTCAACACGGGACTTATAAATATTAACATGCGAGTTATTTATGTCGACATGCGAGTTATTTTTAACATGCAAGATATAGTTGTAAGTTCTATGGTTGATACAATGACCTTTTGGGAAATACAGTTTGTCATTCAGTCTTATGCTGACTGACGTTTTTCATTCTTTTTGTTTGTCCAGTATTTATTCACTGAATTGCAACGGATTTTCCCGATATTTCCCGATCATGACAAGGAACACACAGCGGGTGTGACAGGTCGACAGGGGATGCCAACTCCTCCATTTCATCTTATCCCACTTCTGATGTTTTGGAGGTCCGTGTCTTCTATGCTCCTATTCTTTATTGTTTTATGGACTTTTGATCTTGAATACTGTTGGATATCGTTATATCAATATATTTTATTGACTAAATAATAAACATGTACATGTATATTTACAAATTGATCAATTCTTAAAGTTGGCATCATGAATGGTTTGTACTAAAATAATTTATTACCTAATTACTGCAGCTGGGTATTGGCCAAAAAAATTATATTCTTTTTTTTCAAAATATAATTCACATAATAAAATAAAATTATGCAATTTCACTCTGTCAATAAATTATGTATATAAAAGACCTTCATAAAATTTATGGGTCACATGTTTACACAGGCATTAATTTAGACTTCTATTTAAAAGATATAATTCATTATTCTGTATGGGTCAAATGATCTACCACGAAATGGTTTGTTAGACGTTAGCACCAATTGATCCATAAACTACATTAGAAAATTTAAAAGTCATTGTTTAAAATTTTAAACTAAATTTCTTGTTCAGTATTAACTGAGGCAGATAAGCAGATTGTTTATTACGCCAGCGTTCCACCAAAAATATAGCCCCTCTTTGATTTCAAACTCACTTAACCATTGCTGCTTCAAATTGTATATTACTGAGAAGGGAAGAAAAATATGATCTTTTGAAACTTTTACATTTTTATATATTACAATTATATAAGTAAATAGACATTGAATATTTCATATACTTAGAAACAAGACAAGAACCCCTCCTTAAAAAATATTCATTCATATATTTTTCTTGAAAAAAAAAGTTTTGTTTTACCTATTTCGTTTAGAGGTGAGGTCTTTATTTTAATGATACTCTCTGTACTGCATGCTGATTCTGGTTGATGTTGTAGATTTAAAGTGCAAACATCTGTTACGTTTAATGCTTGGATCCTAGGAAATATTTCTGTCTTCCCAGGATTTAGTATGTGTCCCTTCAGGAATACAAGCAGTTCTGCAGGACGACCATTTGATATTTGATCTTCGTATCTGGAGATTAAATCTCTGAAAGCAATGTAATTTTCTTCTTCAATTTCTTCAAATATTCTCTTTTGTTGTCTTTCGTCTTCTTTTGACTTTTCTATATTTTTCATGACAAGTTGATCTACTTTTCCCTTCAATATTTCGCCTTCTTTTTTATATTCCTCTCTTCTTTCTTCAAACCATTTTCCAATTTGAATCATACCTTCTTGAGCACTAGATAAAGCAAATTCATCTGTTGGTATCCTTTCCTTTAGTTTTGAGATACTTCGTTCAACTTTCTCTTTTTCTTCATTCCACATTTGTGAAATATCAACTATTGGATGTCCGTTATGTTTTGTCTTCATGCATTCTGTACAAACAGGTAGTTTACATTGTATACAACATGCAAAATATATACTATTTTCATGAATTACGCATTTTTCAATTGTTGTCCCATCTTCATGCTTTTCTCTGATCGTAACTATTTCGTGCCCGAAAGGGACCTTGCTTTTTACATGAAAGTTTCTACAGGATGGACATAGTTCATCGGTACAAGTACGACAAAAGTGAGAAGCAATTTCAATTTCACAATAGGTACAACGCAATACATCTTGAGCATCAGGTGGTATCTCCTCGTCACTCGTTAAGTAATCGGATTCCATCAACTCAAAAGAGTCATTTGAAAAAATATTTTCCATTGTTTGATAAACATTGAAGAAGGAAGTAATTGTTAATATAACACAGCCATAAAATATTCTGGCACAGGTGTTAAAGATTAAATGTTACCGTGAAAACATGTCACTTTGAAAACAAAAATTTGTACAGTTATCCATATGCCCCAATTTTCACGTTTTGTACATCTCTGTATTCTTTCTGGTACCTATCCATATAGAAAACAAACCAATAGAAGTATCACTTTAAAAATCGATCGCTAAGTTTAATACGAATAAGGGTTGTACAATGTGAGAAAAAAAATATAAAACAGTTAAGAATTCCATTTCGGAGAATATTTTAAGAGATAACAACAACTCTTACATCAAATATATGTGTGAATATATATATATATTGAAATCCAGTAATTTCTACGGAATACTAAAAGTTCACATATCTAAGGAGATCCAAGAAGCTGTGATGACCTCAACCTGCTGACTTTAAAATACGTCCGATCATCGCTGGACCTGCATCAAGCACCCAACGACTGAGTAATTTACTGGACATATTATTGAAACCACTATGCATGTTATTACCCAGCTGCGTAAGAGATGATATGGATTTTCTTAATTATATTCCCCAGAATGTAGACCCAAACACAATTATCGTCAGTTTTGATGTTACAAGTTTATACAAAAATACCCCACATACTTTGGGACTTGAAGCAGTGAGTTACTGGATAGGCGAACATCCATATATTTTAAATGTACGATTCCCAAAGGAATTCATTTTAGAAGGACTGAGGATAGTGTTGGAAAATAACCATTTCTAATTTAACAATGAGTTTAACCTACAAATAAAAGGAACCGCCATGGGGACAAAAGTTGCTCCCTCATACGCAACTTTAGTGATGAGATACTTAGAAGATCAACTACATATGTATATGTATATAATATGGAAAAATACCTGAACTATTTAATGTCTACTTTGCTAACTCCATAAAAATAATTCGAAAAGTTAGCTAAGTTAGCTAGAAAGTTGATATCTTAATTTATTTATACATTTATTATAAAATGATAAAAGAAAACTGCAAGAAAAACTGATAAAAAAAATATATAAAAAGCATAGATAACAAACACTGTGAGACTCGAACTCACGATCATTATATCTACAATCCAGCAACAATACCACCAAGACAAGAAGTTGTTGTTTTCGAAAGGATAAAATAAATACATATTTTCAATATTTTCAATATGAAACCCCCTTTAACCAAAATTATCTAAATGTAATGAAGTGCAGTCTTATCCAAATAAAATTATTCAGAAGTTGTTTTTTCTGGTTAAAGGTGGTCTTTTGCTACAGTTTGTCATTGTTTAAGGGGATACATCAGTATTCACTATATTCTCTCTATAAACCGAACGATTTTTATATCTATCACATGAGGGAACTATTAAAATTTAAATATTATTTTTGTTTGATTTACTTTAGAACATGTATAAAGTAACAATGTATGACAAAAATTTGGTTAAACAATGTGTTTTAAAAAAGTCACTACTAGAGTAGGCAAAAGTAACTATCACATGCGCTATGGCCCTTTAGACTTCAAACAGTTAAACTTTTCTACTTACTAAAATGTTAATGGCTTAAATCTTTGATTTCTACTCTCATTTGGATCAGTAGGTCAAACACAATATCCAGGGCATGTCTTGTAGAGAGCAAATCCTACAAAATCGTAAGTTTTAGCATTACTTCAGAATAGTTCAGTTCCATAAATTTTAATATGGTTCCTTGTATAAAAAGTCTGGTCCAGCAACTTCATAAAACTTAATAAAAAGTTTGGTGACAAAAAGTATTTGGAAATGGACACACACCTTAACCTCAGGCAGGACGTCAAGGTCAACTCTATTGCTAGGTGTTTGGAATAAACGCAAGGAGAGTTACAATAAACATTTCGAACGGGCCACACCGCTCAATTAATTTACGATGACCTGCCGTACTTCGACAGCAGTTTTTTTTCTCTCCAAAATTAAAAATATTTCAACCTTTAGTTTCCATTCGTAGACATATGTTACTCAATGGACCATAACGCGGACAAATATAAGTGTAAGTTGCATCAGGATGTTTCCATTTTAATATGACATATATCTTGGCTTTGGCATTTCAGAAGGTGACTTATATGACATTTTTTACAAAGATTTCTTTTAAAAAGGTGTATTGTGACCGAACCGTCATGATATAAACATTAATCTGTACTTTCCGAAGATTCTTCCACATTCGTAGGAATAACTAGATATTTACTATTCTTGATGAAAAGTGGTTCTGGAAAAAAATTTATTGTTTATATTCAGTTTTTTGAACATGTTTACTCCTATTTTGGGGATATTAAGTCTAAAAATTTAGTTTGTATGAAATGAAAAGAAAAATAATAAGTTATGTCCACAAAGGCAACTTAAAAGTTTGTGTTTGTATCAAATGACAAGAGCGGAGGACAGTAAGAGTACAAAGTGTTCATTTCTATAAATAATATACAACTGTATTTTCAATGCTTTGTACACTAAATGACACTATAATACACAAATATATACTTGCAATTCGATTAAGTATCATCAAAAAGTATTGTGGCATATTTCTGCCCCCTACATGCAAGATAAATTATGTAGACATGCAACATAATTATGTAGACATACAAGTTACAAATCTTAGAAGAAAATATTAATTTAAAAATGGGTAAATTTGCTAACTAACGCCTGTATCTGAGATTTTAGATGCAATATGCAAGATGACTATGTCAACATGCGACTTATTTATGTCAGCATGTAAGATAATTATGTCAACATGCAACTTATATATTGTCAACATGCTACTTATATATGTCAACATGCAAGCTAATTATGTCAAAGTGCAACTTATTTATATCAACATGCAAGGTAATATTGTCGACATGCTACTTATTTATGTCAACACGCAAGCTAATTATGTCAACGTGCAACTTATTTATGACAACATTCAAGATAATTATGTTAACATGCAAGATACGTTAGTTCATATGCAAGTTATCATCTTGCATGTTGACATACATCAGTTGCACGTGAATATAAATGTCCTGCATGTCTACATAATATGTCGCATGTAAACATAAGTATCTTGCATGTTTATGTAAAAAAGTTGCATGTGTACATAATTAATTCGCATGTTGACATAAAAACTTGCATGTGTACAAATAAACTCGCATATTGACATAAATATATTGCATGTGTACATAGTTATCTTTCTCTTGCATGTTAACATCAGTAAATCGCATCTTCTCATAATTATGTTGCATCTTGCATCTACGATGTCAGTAATCCCTGTTGAGATTCTGCTAGGCTAGATATTTGGACTGACGCCGTCGCAGAATCTTTATTTATTATTATTATTATTTATTATTAAAATATGTTAAAGCGCTGAATTTTACATATAGTATGCAATCAATGGCGCTGTACAATAGAATATATACATATGATAAAAAACAATGCATATGTTAAAATATCAAATAAAGTCTAAATGATCACTGGCTGTTTAAATAAAATATACAAGTGTTCACAATTAAATGTTATTTAAAAGCACATGTGTAGTAGAACGCCTTGAGATGTAGTTTGAAAATACAGAAATCAGTTAACATTCGAACGTTTGTTGGCAACTCATTCCAAATCGAAGGTCCAGCTACAGCGAAAGACCTAGAGGCAAAAGTTTTGCGTCTTACGGACGGGACGTTCAATGTTTTCGCTGCAGGATTTACGGATCGAATGCCATATGATGATGTTCGTAAACTGAGCATTTCTTTAAGATATTGTGGGCTGTCACTGTCGTTAATGCACTTGAAACAATGCATGCAAGTTTGAATTTAATGCGGTAGTGTACCGGTAGCCAGTGTAGTCGTTTGAGTGCTTCAGTAGAACTATCCGTAGACCTCAGCTTCAACACAAGCTTTGCAGCATGCTTTTGCAACAACTGTAGTCTTTTAAAAGTACACTCTGGCAATCCGTACAAGACACTATTTGCATAATCTAAATGGCTAGTGACAAGGGACTGTACAATTTGTTTAAACGAATCATCACTAAGATATTGGCGAATTTGTTTAATCAAGTACAAATTCAATGAAATTGTTTTGCATTTTTCACTGACAAATTTTTTGAAAGTTAAATTTTCGTCCAGAGAACATCCAAGATATTTGATACAAGGAGATGAATTAACAACTGTATCCACTACATTAAAGGGAAATGGAAGATGATTGAGATAACATCGGTTGACCTCCAAATAGTACAAATTCAGTTTTACAAGGGTTAAGTTTTAGTTTGTTCAGATTCATCCAGTCATTGATGGTAACCAATACTTTTTCTAAATTTGTTGTTACACGTTTCTCATCAGCGAAAATCTTCGGATTAAAACTGTCGTATGCAGAGTGGTCATCTGCGTAACCTAATAATGACACACCCGAATCTTGATGTAATGTTGTAGCGTACTCGCGTACACGGTATATAACACAGGTCCGCATATGCTGCCTTGCGGTACCGAAAAGTCAAGACATCTAGACTGTGATTTAGACGCGTTGATGTGCACTTCGGCTTTCCTGAACGAAAGGTATAATTGAAACCAATGAAGAGCCACCTTAAATACTCCGAAAGTAGTT